CCCCCCCGCCACCAATCAAAAGGGGCTAGTTTCGCCCCTGCATCAAACGCCTAGCTCACGAAGGACAGAAAACTTAAGAAATAGGGGGCAATTTAAGTGCTTCAAAAACAGGTTATAAACACCAATCCAATATAGAATTATCTTTATTATCTCTATCCTGCCTGAAAAATCTATAGCCTTCTATATATGTCCCCCCCCCCATATATATATTTCATCGTCTGTTATTTTCTCCTTATAAGATGTGATTCTGTGATACCATGGATAATAAAATAAATATTTAATTTATTATCCATGGTGATACCCAGAATGTCAGAAGAACATGTTTTCAATAGTAAAATGATTTGGATCTTACTGACTTACTCCGTACGTAGCAGTTTATATATATGCGCTATTTTTACCCCTTTACGTTCTAATGTTGTTCTAAAGCTGTCATACATATCTTCACAAACTGTGTAATTTCCGACGTTCATTGAAGTTTCATCAACAAGAAATACTTGAACATTCTTTATTGTGTGGAAATTACTAAATTTCAGAACAGTTTAAAGTGACTTTAGACTATAACATAGTCTGTTTGTCTGTGTAATGTGTGAAGTTTCATTCAATCTCATATTTCAAAAAAACCTCTGGTGCACCCCTATTACGACTATTGCAGTATTACGACTATTACAGTATTACGACTAAAACAGTATTTTAAAATTAAAATCCATAGAATGGAAATTGTATGGACCTTTATTGGTAATAGAATGGACTTGGATTATCCATGATAATTGTAATCCATACTATGAATATAATATCGAAATAGTATGGATCGATACACTATGGATTTATTCGTGTAATTGCAAATGTCATAGTATGCGGGATTTCACATTCAGTTTCTTTTTTCTTTTTTTTTTTTTATTAACTTTACAATCATATTATATAAAAAAATACACATACAGCTATGATTGAAGGATTGGACAACAGAACTAGAATCCCATACTAAGTCCATCCATCTAACACTAAAACACGACATATTACGGACTGCAAACTGGACAACATAAATACTGATTTTACAGGCCTTTATACTATATAAAACCAGTGATATCACTGATATGCTCTATATATAATGGTCCACCCCTGAATGACAATGAAAGAGAGACTTGGAGCAAGTCTACTTTTAAGGCAGGGCCGTAGGAAGCTCTTTTCGATTAGGGGGGGGGGGGCTGAAAGCGAGAGCCAAAGGCCCGAGGAAATTTTTAAATTTAGAGTCTCTGAAATGCCATTTCCTGGACTTTGGGGAAGATTTGACAGAATTCTGATGGTCAGAAAACAGCGTTTTAGTATGTTGAAATTTACAATTTGGTAGTACTAAATGGGCGAAGGCGTATTTAATTAACTATATATTGGATAAGTTGCAGGAAAGTATGGGTAATATCTTCATTCTTTGTCATGGATTAAATGATTAAGGTCTGCATGATTTTGAAAAAAGAATGATTATTAGCAAATTATTGGGGGAGGGGGCGCCCCGGTTGCTACGGCCCTGTAAGGATGTGTAACTGGAGGGGATATATTTAGCGGGGGACCTGGAGAAGTTCCAGTCGGCAAGTCTGTGTCGCTGCAGCTACCTGCAGCATATATATGCATGGTTTAACTAATAAGTAGGCGCAGCAGGGCAGCAGATCAGGCCATACCTAGCTAGGATTCTGAGACAACCGAGTCGACCACCAAAGGTGGGAGCCTCTAGAGGGGTCTGGGGGTCTGGTATGCCCCCCCCCAGAAAATTTTGGATTTCTTGAAGATCAGATAAGCAATTTCCAGCACTTTGAGGAGTTTTCCAACAAGAAATTAACCTTACACTAGTCCCTGAAAATCAAACCAGCAGCTGATCTTCTGTGACTGGTCAAATCGATCCCTGCAACCATGCTGTTTTGCAACATTTTTTTCCCACCAAATAATGGGGCAGGATATTTTTCCCTCACTTTGTTAGTGGTCGGCCCCTAAGGCTGGTATACTTTAATTTAGGGTATTATAATTAGTTGCGGTAGTAATCATGTGTTTAGAAAATGCTCCGCCGTCCGCCGTCCGCCGCCCGCCGTCCGCCGCCCGCCGTCCGCCGCCCGCCGTCCGCCTTTTATCCTGTTCTTTTTATCTACACCCGCCCCATCTGACCCGCCCCCTCCACTACCACTCACCTAACCTGCGAACGGGCATACTCTGGGACGAGATTGCTAATTAATATTCTAATTAAATGTAAATATTTGCTAGAAAGAGTATAAAAGTAAAAATCGCCATCGTGTTTCAACGGTTGAATCCCTGTGGTTCGTCGTGTTAGCGCTGGTAAAAACGTGAAGGTTGGTCGTTTTAACATTGCAATTTAGATGTGTGATTTCAATACTAAGTGCAGTATTTAGCTTTACTAAAAGTAGATTACATGTGCTTGTTTTGCTTTTATAACAGAGCCTCTCAACACACTCTCAATGGCGTTCTTGTCGAATTCGCTGAATGTTGCAGGTCGTGCGCTGAGAACAAATGCATATTTATCCAACGTAGTTCGTAAAGCTTGGTACACTCAAACGCAGGTGAATGCAGTTTTGTTTGCCATGTAACGTATTGTCATGAGAAGATTAATTCGTCAATGTATTTGTAGAATTATTAGACGAATATATGTAAAATAATATTATGAATCTATGTATAAAATTTGCACTGCCCTACAGTCAGAATTCGCTGCAGCTATTAAATCCGAATATAACAGAACACCAAAGTTATATACGACCTTTGTTAGCCCCTGCTTTCCCTCTGATGCTTTCCCAACACTATTATATGTATTCTATTATTTGTTCATTGTTGGTATATGTATCAAACCTTTATTTTGTTAATCTACTGCTTGGAATGCCCCCTGTAACAATGTATGACTGCCATATAAACTCTCATCATGATAGTGCACTGCCTTCCTCCTTTGACCCTTGTTTTACGATTTAATACAGTACTCAAGTACCACTATAAATATAATCCTATATAAATATGCCAATCATTTTATCATCTGTTTATTTGGTTAATTTGATATTGATCAAATGAATAAATCACATGACTAAATCACATGCAAAGACACAAAGACATCAGTTAACATACCAATTAATTAATGTTGGCATACTGAATACAGTTTGAATTGTACAGTTAGTACCAGTACTAGCTGTTTGGCCTTTAGTGTGTGCAGGGCATGCCCTTCCATTCCTGTAATATTTTGCAACTTAATAGTGCCTTGAAGTATCTATTTCCCTTTTTCTAAGATTAATAACATGGAAGTGTATAATGGGATAGAGCATTCTTTGATTACATGGTGAAAATGCAAATGGCACTTGTAGTTACTAAAACATGGAACGAGCCACAACAATCTACAATCAGCCACAATGACCCCACAACGATCCACAACCAGTGGTGGAAGCTAGGGGGGAGGTGATTGCCCCCCCCCCCAAAAAAAACTTTCTTAAATTATATTTTAGCTAGATTTCATTTTGAATAACAATAACAACAGCAACAGCAACGAAATGGCAAGTTTTAATAAAAACAAGCTAAAGTATTCTAAATTTATAATCTCACAAGTCACACAATGAGTATTATGAATTCTGAAAAAAGTCAAATTAAATTAGTTTTGCGACTACAGGCTAAAAGGTGATGAATGTTGGCTAAAATAGTAGCTTCTACAGTTACTTATCATTGCATGTACCAAATTTGAGGAACGTAACTAAAAAATTGAGCATACATACATTCATACACACATACATAAACTTTATTTAAACTCGAATTTACAAAATTATAGCTAATATCTTCGAGTAAATACAAAACATACATAGAATATTTACATGCAAGTGCTTATTACTAAATATTATTAATCAAAATGAATTTTAGAGATAGCTCTCTTAAATTCTACCAAATTACTTAATTAACCCATTGAGTCGCATTGCACCCTGATGCACCCTACTTTAGTATTTTACTCTGTCTAACGCCAGACGATTTTACTCGTCAAGGGGAGAGCGCTGGCGCTTAATGGGTTGAGGTTACAATATATGATGAGACTCTGATTTTGTCCAAAATTTTTTTTTTATATAGTTATATTAAGTAATGATATATCTATCAATTCCAGCAACTTTTTTAAGAAAATGTTAAAAAGCGAGGACATGGGAACATGCTATGACCACTGAATAGCTTCGCGTGAAACTTGTAATTATGATTGACTCGAATTGTCAGTCTGACCTCTTGCGGTTAAATACAATTAGTAAGGAACCGGTCTAAGCCAAAACGCAAACGCAGTAGAAAAGTCACCGAAGCCAACATCGCGCATAGCTTGAAGCCAACATCGCGCATAGCTTGAACTTCGAGAGACTCTGTAAATACTATATTATAAGCTTTCTAATGTTGTCGCAGTGATATATGCCTCCGAACAATAACTTATACTTTAGCCAGCAAAGTTCACACTTTGTGGTTTGGCCACAAGTGGATTAAAATTGGGGGCGGAGAAATGACAGAAAGAGTGGAAACCTCGCCAAATCTTATAATGGTCATTTGAAGACAAAGCAAAATTACCCAATCTCCTCGACAAAAAAGAGTTTAACGACAGAACGTTTTATCCGATTCGTCCCAAACTTGACCACAATGTTAATCAATAATAAAGGAACAAAAGTGTGTTCGCGTTTTCGATTTAGTGCATTATTTTTCAATTTAGAAGCATCTCTTCAACCGCTTATACCCGCGCAAGATAAGTCAAGTTGTCTGCTTTATATCAAAGCGAATACAATAGCTGTCAAAAAATGCGAACACACTTTTCTTCATTGGACATTTGGGATGAGAAATATGATATTTTGGGAGCTCCTGAGTTAAACGGTCTGTCGTTAAATCTCGTGGTGCAGGAGGTGCTATTTTTCAAAAGATGTCTCATTGCGACTACAGGTTAAAACCTGGTGAATTTTGGTTAAAACAGTAGCTTCTACAGTTAGTTATCATTGCATGTACCAAATTTGAGAAACGTAACTAAAAAATTGAGCACGCAGTGACAATTTTTATGAAACAGGAATCTATCATATCATGTAACCTTAACTGGCTTATCTGCCCATGTGTCTAGTTAACCCATTGAGTCACATTGCACCCTGATGCAACCTACTTTAGTATCTTACTCTGTCTAACGCCAGACGATTTTACTCGTCAAGGGGAGAGCGCTGGCGCTTAATGGGTTAATGTTCCAATATAATCTGGTAAGGAATTCCAAATGAATATTTTACAGCCTGATACTTAAAGGATTTTAATCCATATGTGGTACACTGTGTAGTTCTGACTTTGGTTAGATTTAGTATATCGGTACCAGGGCCTTTTCTAAGGATTTTCCCGTGGGGGGGGGGGGATTTTTGAAAAGGGACCTTTCTGTGAGATAATATATTAGAGGGGGATTATAGGAACGGCTGAAGGCCACATGTGTGGCCGACATACCATGCATGAATAGGGGGGTCTGGGGCATACTCCCCAGAAAATTTTTGAAATTTGAAGCATGCAAGAATTTGAAGCATGGAAATGCCATTTCCTGCATTCTGAGCATTCAAATTTGCTCCAAAATTTATGCTAAATATACTTGTATTTGAAATCAAGCCTCGAAATAAGTGCTGGTCACCGGTCACTGACCGGTAAGATTTCACAGTTTGACCGGCAAATATTGTCGCCTGGCGGACATGCGTGACCGGTAAATTTAAATAAAATAATAAAAAAGTACGTTCAAAAATGGAGCAGATGTTTTATTTACAATTTTCCAACGAAGCGTATGTCCGTCTACAGTGCAGGCAAATAAGGGCGGCGAAGTGACACATTTTGTCATACATGCAGATACGATATACCGCAAGCATTGTACCTAAGGGGCGGGCCATTTGACTTTTTTTTGGGGGGGGGTTGGAAGATTTCCAAAAAAAATTTCCTGCAACCCAAGGAGAAAGAAAAAAAATCATGCAGCATACAATCGAGAAAAAAAATCACTTCAATATTGTATCCACAGGCTTGCAAGATTTTGCATTTTTGAGCTGCAGGCACATTTGCTTAAAAGAGCACTGGGTGAACAGAAGGTGAACAGTTGACAGTAGTGTACCCTCCTCCCATTCTCAAGTACTCTACTCTATCCCTGCATGTTTTAGGGTTTGGTGCAGTTATACATTTTTTGTACAGTAAGTAAACTTGTATGCTTTAGTGTGGAGAACATTTAGACATAACCATATAAAATAAAGCGCAGTGAAAATTCCTTGGCCCTTCTTGCGTTTTCTCTGCCTCCTCTGACTGAACACCCAGCTACTCTCTGACGATAGCTATATGAAAGCCTTGAGTTACCGTAAGCCGTTGTTATGAGAGGCAAAAAAAAATTCTGCCGCGAAATATGTTGGGAAAAAAATATCTTGCACTGCACTTTTACAGGAAAAAATATCTGTCTTGCACCTGGGCGGAAAAAAATTCTTGCAGACTGAATCTTCCAACCGCCCCCAACCCCACTCAAGAGTCAAATGGTCCGGCCCTAAAGGCGGTTTTCCACTAGGCGAAATTTTTCGACCGAATCGAAATTTCTCTTTGTTTCATGAACTCTCGAGCAGAACTAATTGTAAAAAGACAAAGGGAAATTTCGTTTCGGTCGAAAAATTCCGCCTCGTGGAATCTGGCCTTTAAGGGCTGTTTTCCAGTTACGCGTTTTTCACACGTGCGACAGAAAAGTGTAAATCTTTTAAAATTTCATATAAGTGCAAATAACCTTAACAAATACACATTAAATCATACACAAAACTGAATGCTGTCCTTTTATAAATTTAGTTATTTCATAAGTAGGATGTAAAGCAATTTCAACAGTTTTACGTGCGTGTACGCACATATGAAAAACGCATAACTGAAATGCAGCCTTAAACATAGACGGATTTTCATATTTTTTACTGGGGTGGTGCCAGAAATTTTAGGGGGGTGAGCCGTGAGCAGGTGACTGAAGCAACACAAAGTGTCACCAAACCCCAGTAAGGTCTATATTCTGCGGGTGGAGCACTAGAGCCGCGAGGGGGAGTCTAGAGAGCAGAAAACAAAGTATCCCTGGAAAAATTTGAAAAAAATCATGATTTCTAGCTTCGAAAAAAAGTTTTTTGAAGTTGTCACATCAGTGGATTTGGCATGTTACTTTTAAAAAGTCATTGACATTGTGTCGTTTGAATCCGAGTACAATTTACGATGCAACTCCGACGTAAGTAATATTTGGGGCGTAAAGATTAAATCTAGGCAAGTCTATTTCCTAAAAGAATTAAAAACTAAAAATAATGTTCGTAAAAATTCCAAACGTTCCTAGCGAGCAAGCTACATATTTGCATGACAAGCCACTGCAAACTCTATTCAGGGGAGATAATAGAGTTTCAAAACTTTACAATTGCTCCAAAAAACCAGTGAGGGCAAGCGAGGAGCGTATTTGAGTGTACTACATTTATTTTGTATCATCAACACTCTGCACGTTGGACTGGACTATTTAATTATTTTTATTATGCCGAATATTAGGGGGGGTTGAAATTTTTTTTGGAGGGTGGACATTTT